ACCGTAACGGTGGATAGTAATGGCGATCCATCTCCTGAACCCTGCTTCTCAGATCCTGCCAAATATATGAGGGCAACTTAACATTTTATGGGCTTTATTGTTTATTTTATCAGTGAGTCAAAGAGTACAGCTTTAATATTTACTTTTCATTTGACGTCTGATGCCCCATACACAGAGGTGAAGTCTTGGGCATCAGATGTAAAATTAGATCACAAATTCATCACAAAATCTTACCAGTCTCAGCCATGTTCTTCAGCTGGCTTTTACTGGGACACGTCAGCTTTCGTGGTGTCTCTGCACGCAGCTGTCTTGCACAAACAGACTTTTTTCCTGCAGGTTGGCATCCGGTCTCGCTCTCACATAAAAGCCTTCTGCTTCTCAGTAAACCACACCATTCTGCTTTGCTCCTCAGCCCTGGCGCACACGGCCACAGCCTCTTTCATCCCTCCCCTTACCCCAGGAGTTAGTGCTCCCTTCAGGGAGACCGTTATTCCCGGTTCACCAGTTCCTCCAGCTCACTCATCTCCCCGTATCTGCGCAAATCTGTGAAATTTGTTTCACTGTGAAAAACGACCAGTGCAAGGCAGTCTGAAGCCTGCAGAAGCTGCTGACTTTCACTTCTGCATGGCCTAGAAGAGGTAGTAGAAACACGGGGGCTTTAATGGTAGCAGACGCAATTGGCTGCGCCTCTGTCTGATCCTATGGGCGGGCTGAAGGAGCGTGTGGTAAAGAGTCAGCGCTGGTTATTCTTCACAAATGCTAAGACTGGGGGGTTTGAACCTTGATGTGGGTTTCGGTTTCATTTATCATGCATTTTGCAAGAAAAGTGGCTAAAATTGGCTATACTGGTAAAAGCGAAACAAGGTTTCTTCTGAGGCTAATTAAGAGTCTATGTTGACTGTCACAGAGTTTAAAGCTTAACAGAAGTACAGCAAATTCTGTGCTGATACTGTATTCTATACAGATGCCAAAAATCCCATTGTAGTCAAAGGTGCAGGAATCAGTCCTTAGATAAATCACACCAACATGTTTCCAAATGCAAAGCCTTCAATAATTTTCTTAGCATGAAATTCAGTGATGATTTTTTGCATTATCTGCCCTTTCAGATACAATGCCGGCATTTTTGTGCAATAAAGCAGGATGGGATTTCATGACTCTTGCAACAACATGTTTCTCCCCGTTCTTGTAAAGTGCTGGGCAGCCATCGTTTCCACTAGAGTTAGCAAGAGCTTAAGGTTTTCAGCACCTCAGTGCTGGCATTTCCAGTCTCACAGGACTGGAACCAAATGCACTTAGCATTTTAAATGCTTTTGTAAACACATTAATCTTCATAATGGCCCTGAGAGATGAGCAGTTATCATCTCCATTTCACAAATGAGAAATCAGAAGGGCAGGGATGCTGTCCTTCCCAGGGACGCCGAGTGAGAGAGGAAAACTGGGATTAGAGCGCTATCTCTTGCTTACTCCGCTCTTCAGCATCTCCTCTCCTGTCAGATTTGTCTCAAAGAGGAGGTGAGTTTCTCATGAGACTGTATTCCAGGAAACCCAATTTCAAATATATAAAATTATTTGAGTGTGACAGTCATGATTTATCTAGACTTTTATGGCACGCTTAGCACTCAGGCACCTGACTCTCATCCTTTCCCAAAAACTAGGAAAGAATTTCAATTCTTTATAAATATTACCTAATACTTGCATATAGTATTTAATACTGCAAAGGTCACCAGACTCTTTCACCACAATACAACAATGAACATGTTAGCTCTCCAGTGGCAAAGCATTTCATATCAGTGGGCGCTCCGCCACTTTCTGCTGTATTTAGTGTTTCGGTCAAGAGCAAAACATGATCTCTGCCTCCCTTGCAGGTAATGACCCCTTACGCGTGTGCTCCTCCACCCCCTCCCATGTTCTGCCGGCTGTCCTTAACCCTGTCACAGAGGGCTCCCCTCCCTGATTAGTTTGGCCGCTTGCCTTTTCTTTCCCAAGGTAGTTTATAGTCCCCGGTGCCTGCGGCCACTCCATTTTGATTGCTGTTGCACAGAGTGGTGAGGCATCGCTGTATTGCTAGAGACGTCCGCACCGCAGACCACGGTGATGGACCGCACCGTTGGCGGGCCTGAAGGACCACCACAGCCTCAACGAAGTGCTTCGAGGACCTTGCTTCATTTTCCTACTCTAGCCACTGCCCTTGAAACCCACCATCTGCCGCATTTGCCACATTGACAAGGACAAGCCTATTGCTTAAAACAGTGCAATTGGGAAAGGGAGTGGGGAAAATACCTTATTTTTCATTTCCTCTTGGAGCAAAAATGGATTTTTCAAATGTCTAAACCACGGTGTGACTTTAAAGCAAAAGCAAGCAGCCACGGCTCATTAACTGCAATGCTAAACTTTCAGCTGCAGCGTATGCTGCACTTGATTTCCACGAGAGACTTTTCCAGTGTCTCTGCTACTTTTTATTTGCCAGTTTTTGAGCTATGAAGTACATTTCAAATCGTTTGTCTCTGTGTGAAATAGAATTACCTTTTCTCGTCTCGAGGCAAAGAAAATGGCAAATCACAGCGAGCGACCTTGCTGCCATGTATTTTTGTTCACTTTGCATAATTTCAGGGACAAAACAGCATCTCCTCTGTGAGCACAGCTTCCTCTTAAGAGATCTTTTCTCCAAGTGGATTAAATACTTCTTTCAGCAGAAGGGCAGCCAATTGCACAATGTTCTTGCAAGGGTGTTGCTCTTATTTCCTGTGTTTCTCCTGCTGCTTCAACACATCTCCCTCCAGCTCCTCTGCCCGTCACCTCTGAGAACCAGAGCTTGGACCCGAAGGGTGCCCTATCTGCCCCACATGGGCTGCTCTCGGGCCACCCACACATCGCATTCTTTACACGATAGGAAAATCACAGCCTGCACCTAGGTGGACCTGGTGGCTTGCACCAAGGAAGGATTTGCCCCTCCAGCCCGGGGGGGAGGGACAGGCTCAGGTGCCCCGGCGCAGGCACAGCGCTCGCCGCAGCCAGCTGCCTGGGCCACATGAGACCCACGCGGTTGGCCTCGAGGTAGTTGTTTTTTGTGGTGTTTCAGTTTAAAGCACTCAGAATAGCTGTGGTGCAGCTGGCCCCAGGGGCTGTTTTGCAGAGTGAGTGAAAGCTGGACGTTGCAAGGTTTGGGGCAGGGCAGAAGAGCATCTGAAAGTCAGAGATTTTGTGAGATGCTATTCAGACATTTTCTCCATGACTGGAGGGAGCCAGATTTGCAGTGGTCACCCACAGAATCATAGAATCATCGAATCATAAAATGGTTTGGGTTGGAAGCGACCTTAAAGATGATCTGGTTCCAAACCCTCTGCCATGAACAGGGACATCTTCCACTAGACCAGGTTGCTCAGAGCTCCATCCAAACTGGCCTTGAACACTCCCGGGGGGGGGCCAGCCACAGTTTCTCTGGGCAACCTGTTCCAGTGTTTCACCACCCTCATGGAGAAGAATTTCTTCCTAATACCTAATCTAAATCTGCCCTCTCTTAGTTTACAGCCATTCCCCCTTGTCCTATCCCTACACACCCTTGTGAAAAGTCCCTCTCCATCCTTCCTGTAGGCCCCTTCAGGTACTGGGAGGCTGCTAGAAGGTCACCCCGGAGCCTTCTCTTCTGCAGGCAGAACAGCCCCAACTCTCTCAGCCTGTCCTCGTACGAGAGGTACTCCAGCCCTCTGATCATCTTCGTGGCCTTCCTCTGGACCCACTCCGACACATCCATGTCCTTCTTATATTGGGGGCCCCAGAGCTGGACGCAGTACTCCAGGTGGGGTCTCACGAGAG